TTAAGAGCACTGACTGTTCTTCCAGAGGTCCTGGGTTCAATTCCCAGCAACCACATGGTGGCCCACAGCCATCTGTAGTGAGATCTGGTGCCTTCTTCTGGACTGCAGGCAGACATGCAGGCAGAACACTATATAATAAATAAATAAATCTTTAAAAAGCAAAACAACAACAAAAAAATCAACCCTTAATATTAGAAATAAACAAATAAGCTGAAAGATAAGAGAAGTCTTTCCTCCCCTAGCTGCTTTTGATCAGGGTATTTATCATAGTTACAGAAAACAAACAAAGGTAGTTCTCCATAAACAGATCCTGGCATTCTCTAAATAAATAAATAAATAAATGGGGGCTGGAGAGGTGGCTCAGCGGTTGAGAGCACTGGCTGCTCTTCCAGAGGTCCTGAGTTCAATTCCCAGCAACCACTTGGTGGTTCACAACCATCCGTAATGAGATCTGGTGCCCTCTTCTTGCCTGCAAGGATAGATGCAGACAGAACACTGTATACATAATAAATAAATCTTTAAAAAATAAATTAATGGATAAGTAAATAAATAAATAAAAGTCCTGCTCTTTCCCAAGCAGCCAAGCAGCTTGGTCTCAGAGGTGAGTGTGAATGACTTTGGAGATCCTTCCCTCGACACCTAAAGCTGTGTGTCCCTGAGGCAGTGTCTTGGCTTCTCTGAGCTCTGGTCCCTAGCAATGCTGACAAGATGACAGCGACAGCAGCTGGTGCTCTGAATCCTTATTCAGATTGGTTTCTTTCATAGTCACAGACATTCCTTTAGGTAGAACAACCTCATTGTACAGATGGGGAAACTGAGGCACAGGTGTTATCCAGCCTCTGCTTAGTTAGCATTGCTGGTTCTGTCAGTGCTCTCATTAAATTAGGGACTGAGTCAAAGGGAAAGAGTGGGAGAGGAGGAAAGGGAAAAGGGGTGACAGAGGGACAGCGAGAGGAGGAGGGGAGGTGGGGCACGGAGCAAGAGGCAGAGGAGGAGAAGAGGGGGAGGAAGAGGGAAACAAGAACCACCCACTCTCGGCATAGCACTGACACGGAAACAGGCTGCGTGCAGAAAGAAATGGCTACAACTACAGGCGTAGCATCCGACTGCTTCCCTGCACCCTGGTGTGACAAAGGTAGCTTTCCCCAGTTGACCAGGGAAGGAAAGGAGGGCATGAAAGGCTTGGGGACAACCACTCAGAAATCTGCTGGTTTGTAATATCAAAGGAAGGAAAGAAAAATGACCTATTTAACCTTTTACCACATCCCCCAGTTTCAGTACAAAATACACTCAACTAGCCTCTTAGAAATAGTTTGTTGAGCTGGGCATTGGTGGTACATGCCTTTAATCCCAGCACTCGGGAGGTACAGGTAGGCGGATCTCTGTGAGTTCAAAGCCAGCCTGGTCCACTGAGCGAGTTGCAGGAAAGGCTCCAAAATATTACAGAGAAACCCTGTCTCCAAAAAAGAAAGAAAGGGGCTGGAGAGATGGCTCAGAGATTAAGAGCACTGACTGTTCTTCCAGAGGTCCTGAGTTCAATTCCAGCAACCACATGGTGGCTCACAACCATCCCTAATGAGATCTGGTGACATCTTCTGATGTGTAGATGTACATGGAGACAGGATGCTGTATTCATAATAAATAAATAAATCTTTTTTTAAAAAAAAAGTAAAAAGAAAGAAAGGAAGGAAGGAAGAAAGAGCTTGTTGGTTATCCCCAGCAGAACTAGAACGTGAGACCCTATTACTGTAGAGACTCTGGCTGCTGGACCCAGAGAAACCAAGCAGGAGCCAACTGGAAGCTTCCTCCTTGCTGGCCCAGCTCTCACCATTCCAGGCTGTGCTATGGCAGCAGGTTGGTGTGGGGGAGCAGACACCGACAGTTTCACTGAGCTGCGGATGCTGTGTCTGCACTCCTGACCTGCCGGATCTGGGGCAGCCGTGCACCGCTGCGATAGTGGCGCCTCTGTTAAGGTGTAACTAACCACTCTCTGCTTGGAGGGGACTCGTGCCTGGCATTTAAAATCAGGTCAAAGCCGGGCGTTGGTGGCGCACGCCTTTAATCTCAGCACTTGGGAGGCAGAGGCAGGCGGATCTCTGTGAGTTCGAGGCCAGTCTGGTCTACAGAGTGAGTTCCAAGACAGCCTCCAAAACAACACAGAGAAACCCTGTCTCGAAAAATCAAAAATAAAATAAAATCAGGTCAAGCGCACATGGTAGCATTTTCTTAGCTGTGGTCGCCTCTTCACAGACGACTCTGGCTTGTGTCTAGGTGACCAACCACACAGCAGTTTCTCAGCTTTAGACTTTGGATCTCTTATTTTGTTGCTGGGGTGCACCATGTAGCACCAGGCGGTTGAAGAAAAAAGGAAGTCCAACACAAAAATTTAAGGCCTACGCGGCCCCAGGAAAATCCAACCTCCTCTGATGGTCTGAACCCAGACAGCTGTCCAAAGGCGTATTTATTGATTGTTACACAAAACGTTTGTTGAAAGTGACACAAAGTATTTATTGATTGTTACACAAAGTATTATTGATTGTTATACAATGTATTTATTGAAAGTGACACAAAGTATGAATTGATTGTTACACAAAGTGTTTATTGGAAGTTACACAAAGTATTTCCTCACTCCAAGGTCCCTAATCTAATGTACATGTCTTACTGATGGGAACATCACATGCCCCCATGACTATAGTCCTGTATTGTATGTTGCTTGCAATACACAATAATACAAGAGCCTCAGGTATGCCTGAGGTGTCATGTGACCAAAGTCATGGCATGGCTGTCATGAACTTTCAGCAAGATTATCGCTGTTTTCCACAAAGATTCTCCAAGGTCAAAGTACTTCTAGGAAATAGCCGTTCATTCTAATGTCTACCCCAATGTAGTGATTCTGCTAAATTCCTACAACACTTCATCTAACTCAGCACTTAATACAAGGGTTGCAGTGCTCACCCTCATGCTTCCTCTAGCTCCATTCCTTCCTGCATTCCTAGGGCCTAGAACTGGCTTATGACCAATGTCACTTAATTGCCCCTCCCTCTCCTGTTCCCTGTGTAGTGCGTGTGTGTATAACCTGGCACTTTCCTCTATCACTCACCATCTGTTCTTTTTGAGACAGGGTTGTGGTGATACATTGTTTATGATCTAATAAAACTTGCCTGAAGATCAGAAAAGCAAAGCTGGACACAACCATAGAGGCCAGGCAATGGTAATCCACACCTTTAATGCCAACAGCCACACTAGTTAGCCCTAGAAGCCGGACAGTGGCGGTACACACCTTTAATCCCAGGACTAGAGAGGTAAATAAGACAGGAACAGGGTCTCAGACCCGGCAATTAGTCTCCAGCCTTGGTAGATGTGAGAACTCTCTGGTAGCTGGCTGCTTTGCTTTTCTGAGCTTCAGCTTGAGTCCCAATATCTGTCTCTGGGTTTTTATTATTCATGTTACACAGGGTCTCTCACTAAACACAGAGCTTGCTGATTGGCCAGATTGGCTGACCTGTGAGCTCCAGGGATCGTTCTGTCTTCTCCCACCCCCCACCCCTCACCACTAAGGGCACAAAAAGTCCTTCATTGGCAGAGTTGTCCCCTAGTCTACTTCCCTCCCTCCCTCCAACCTCCTCCTCCTCTCTCTCTCTCTCTTTTTTTAAGACAGGGTCTCTCTGTGTAGCCCTGGCTGTCCTGGAACTCACTCTATAGACCAGGCTGGCTTCAAACTCACAAAGATGTGTCTAACTCTGCCTCCAGAGTGCTGGGATTAAAGGCATGTGCCGCCATGGCCTGGCTCCTCTTCTTAATCTTCCTCCTTCTCCCTCTTTCCAATGTGCAGCTTCAAACTGTCCTTGAACTCATGACCTCTCCTGCCTCAGCCACACCCAACATAACTTCTGCCATCAGCAGACTGATCCTACGATATAGACAGTAGTGTAATTTCCAGTTCACAAGAGGTCAGACAGCTCAGAGAGGACACAGCCAGTAGAAGGAAAGCTGGGATTTGAGCTGGTGTGTGTGTGTGTGTGTGTGTGTGTGTGGCCTTCCCCTGAAGGTGTCCTAGGCCACTAGCCTCAGCAGATGGTGATGAGCCTGGCTCCCTGTGACCCTCTCGCCCCTCACCTGTGGACACACTCACCTGTGGACACATTCACACACACTCACCTGTGGACACACTCACAATGTCCTCACCTGTGGACACACTCACACACACTCACCTGTGGACACACTCACAATGCCCCTCACCTGTGGACACACTCACAATGTCCCCACCTGTGGACACGCTCACACACACTCACCTGTGGACACACTCACAATGCCCCTCATTCACACACACTCACCTGTGGACACACTCACAATGTCCCCACCTGTGGACACACTCACACACACTCACCTGTGGACACACTCACAATGCCCCTCACCTGTGGACACACTCACAGTGTCCTCACCTGTGGACACACTCACACACACTCACCTGTGGACACACTCACAATGCCCCTCACCTGTGGACACACTCACACTCACCTGTGGACACACTCACAATGCCCCTCACCTGTGGACACACTCACAATGTCCTCACCTGTGGACACACTCACACACACTCACCTGTGGACACACTCACCATGTCCCCACCTGTGGACACACTCACACACACTCACCTGTGGACACACTCACAATGCCCCTCATTCACACACACTCACACACACTCACCTGTGGACACACTCACAATGCCCCTCATTCACACACACTCACCTGTGGACACACTCACACACACTCACCTGTGGACACACTCACAATGCCCCTCACCTGTGGACACACTCACACACACTCACGTGGCTGCCCAGAGAGCCAGGCTGTAACTTGAGCCTCACTACGCTTGGGGTTACTGGACGGGTGGGCTGGTGACAGCCAGGACAGGGACATCTGCTCAGATACTATGTGCCCGGGCGCCCCCAAGAGCCACCTGTAATTTCATTTCCAGTGGATTCAAGACTGCGGCCTCCAGCATGGGCAACAAGCAGACTGTGTTCACCCACGAGCAGCTGGAGGAATACCAGGTGGGTGTGGGTGATAAGTCCTGAGTGGCCACAGCCTGGTCTGGGATGCGGGCAGTCTCCCAGAGCCTAATCTGTGACATCATGCTGTCTGTGTGGGGTTTGGAGTGACTGGAGGGGCACGCAGAGAGACTGCCATGAGGCAAGCCGGTTCCTCTCCCCACAGGACTGCACTTTCTTCACAAGGAAGGAGATCATGAGGTCAGTGGGGAGGTGGCACCCAAAACAACTTTCTAGTCACTGCTGGCCTGCGTGCAATCTTTTGCTTGTTCTGTTTTGTTTGAGAAGGAGCCCAGGCTAGCCTCAAATTTACCTCTCCTCTTGAGTCCTGAGATCTCAGGTGTGTGCCAGTATAGATGTCTGCAAGTTTAAAAAATTATTATTATTGTGGGGAGCATGATTTGTGAGTGTGCACATGTAGAGTTCAGATGACCATTTACAGAGTTGATTCTTTACCTCCTTTGGGTGCTGGGGATGGAGTCCAGACAGTTCAGATGTTCTTTCCACTGTATGTTCGTATTCAGGCATCTGTGCTGGTCTGCCCTTGGGGCTCTGGCAGGATACACTCTCAAATGCTGCCACTAAGAGCAACACCTGTGCACATTCACTATGTTCCCTTTTAAAGGGGCCCACCTTCCATCTTTCTCTCTGTTCCCTCTCTCTCTCTCTCTCTCTCTCTCTCTCTCTCTCTCTCTCTCTCTCTCTCTCTCTCTCTGCTTCTCTGTCTATCTGTCTCCCCCTCCCACTTCTCTTTTCTCTTCCACTGCTCCTGTCCCCAGAGGCCAGTCCTCTCCACCCCCACCCCCTCCCTTTTTACCCATTTCCTTTCCCCTAATAAAAAACCTCTCCATGTGAGCTCTGTTATATGGCATCCTTCTCTCTAGCACTGCTTTTGAAATTACAATGCCATGTGGGTCTCAGGGTTCAAATTCAGGTCATCAGGCTTGGTGACAAGTCAGCAAGCATCTGTCATCATTTTGGTTCACCTTAGATTTTTGGTGGTGGTGGTTTTTTGGTTATTTAGGGTTTTATTTTTCAGTTTTTGAAAACAGGGTTTCTCTGCGCAGCCCTAGCTGTCCTGGAACTCAATCTGTAGACCAGGCTGGGCTCAAACTCATAGAGATTCACCTGCCTCTGCCACCTGAGTGCTGGGATCACAAGTGAGCTCCCACCATGCTCTGTGTCTTTTGCATTGTGGAGGGAGTCAAGACATAGTGCCATCAAGACCAAAGCTTTGATGTGGGCGTTGCCCCCAGGTCAGTGGACTGAAGCAGAGATGGCTGGCTGAGAAGTCATATCCTGTCATACTGGCAGAGTTTTTGCACTGAGCAATCTGCTTATACCCAAAGATAGAAGGGAGCCATGGAGGGTTTGAGGTTGGGAGTTCAGAGCAGAGCTGAGATCAGCTCTGAGCTGTGAATGATGAAAAGGAGATCGTGACGTGGGTGGGTGGTTCCTGGTGACTGCAGGTCCCTGGCTCGAGATGGCTGAGAGGGACACAAATGAACCCCCCTTGTCATCTTCTGTCTGCTGGGTCATTAGCCATGAAACCCAAGCCGGCTGGGGTTCAGCTGTGGGGCGCTCAGGGATGAGCCCCTCGTGTGTGGGCACAGGGCATCCATTATTGATGGGCACGCCTCTCACCCATCAGCCCATTGTCTGTGTGAGGACAGTTGGCAGGGTCACTTTGGCCATCATGATCAGATTACTGGTGGGGAAACTGAGTTTTTGACAGAGAGGACTTCCATTTCCACACAGACAGGCAGACAGGCAGAGTCCTGGTGAGTCTGGCATTTCGACTTGCCCAAGCTTCCAGATTGTCAAACAGAATAACTGAAATTGGGAGGAGAGAGGGACTCACTGGATGTCCCAAAGGAAGACAAACTCTGGGGGTCCTAAATATGGCTCAGCAAATGAAGGTTCTTGCTGCCAAACCTACGGACCAAGTTCAAACCTCAGGGCTCACACTGTAGGAGAGAAATCACTCTCAAAAGCTGTCTTCTGACAACTTATACATGCAGTGTAACACACATACACACAAGTTAATACATAACACAACTGTAAAAATATTTTTTTGATTTTTCGAGACAGGGTTTCTGTCCTGGAACTAGCTCTATAGAACAAGCTGGTCTCACACTCACAGAAATCCACCTGCCTCTGCCTCCTAAGTGCTGGGATTAAATGCGTGTGCCACCACTGCCTGGCTCTGTAAAAATATTTTTAAAGGAAAGATAAACACATTCAGGGCATCCCTGGAGGGCAAGGAAACGGGCCGTACTCAGATATGTAGTCATGAGAACACCCAGGGACACAGGGACATCCTTGTCCCTGGGAGAAAGCTCTTAGCAGCTTGGGGACATCAGATGTCAAGGATGGTCTCCTTGAGGTTTATTATGCACTTGGGGGGGTGTACAGTGTCACCAGTGTTTTCTAGATTCCCTTTTAAAAGCCCAACTGGAAGTGGTAGAATAAGCCTGGCATCCCCACCCCTGGGAGCATGAGATAGCCTAGGCTACATAGGGAGACTCTGTCTCTGTCTTGGGGGAGGTCTGAACATTAACTGTCTGTGCCCTGCTCCAATGGGGAAACCTGCCTCCTCGTGTGCAGCGTGGAGGGGTCAGCGGAGGCTGCATCCTGCCAATGCCATAATGAACCATGTAGGTTACATAGCCAGGTCCCGCAGATATGGGCTGTGGAATGACGGGTCATTGGCACCAATGCCGCCTCCTCCAGGAAGCCTTCTTCCTCTTTACCTCGTTTCTACTTCCCCTCTCCACCTTGGCCTTGTCTGTGGGGAGGGCGAGAGAGCTGCCTGCTTCTGGTTCTGTGTGCTCCTGGGGGACCCAGTGTCCTTCCTTGGGAAGGACTGCCCATGTGTAAGAGAAGAGACAAGTCCCTTCTGCCTCTCGGCTCCCAGCCTTTCCCGGCCCCTCTCCCCCACGCCAGGCTCTTCTATCGCTACCAGGACCTGGCCCCCCAGTTGGTGCCGCTGGACTACACCACCTGTCCGGAGGTGAAAGTTCCCTACGAGCTGATCAGCAGTATGCCAGAGCTGAAGGTATGCCTGCGCTGTGCGGACAGAGCGGAAACGGAATGAAGACGGCTCCACTGTGTTCTAACGAGGCGGAAGCTGCCGACACCTTCATTTTACAGAAAGGATAGCCGGGGTCAGAGAGACACACAGGGATCACAAGGGAGTCCAGGCATAAACCAGGCCAAGGGGCAGGGGCGGGCCGGGAATGGTGGCATCAGATCTCCTGCAGAGGCCAACAGCTCTCTGTGAGTTCCAGGCTGGTCAGGGCCACACAGCGAGTTCCAGTCCAGCTGGGGCTCCTCAAAAATAAAAAATAAATAAAAGGAAGGAGGGAAGGAAGAAAGAAATCAGAAAGACAAAGGGCTTAGTTACTATTTGGGAAGGAGACATGCCAATGTGTGGGAGGATAAGAGGGGGGTTGTGTGCATGTGTGAGGGGAATGTGGGGGTTGGTGAGTGGGTGACAGATGTGGGGGATGGGCATGTGGGGGATGTGGTGAGGAGAGTGGGGCCATGTGGATGTGTACAGGGGACGTGTGTGGGAGTTATAGGGGATGTGTGTATGTATAGGCATGTGGGTGTGTATGCAGAATATGTGTTTTATGTGGAAATGTATTGTGGAAGGGGGATGCTCGTGTATGCGTGTGTGTGTGTGTGTGTGTGTGTGTGTGTGTGTAGTGACAACGTGCATGGGGATGGTGTGTGTGTCAGGGGAGGGTGTGTGCGTGTACAGGGAAATGAGTGTATGTGTGGAAGGGGAATGTTCGTGCATGTGTGTGTGTGTGTGTGTGCATGTGTCTGTGTGTGTGTGCCTGTAGGGACAATGTGCATGGGGATGGTGTGTGTGTGTTAGGGGAGGGTGTGTGCATGTATGTGTGGAGGGAGCCACCTGGAACAAGGCGGCTCACAGGCAGACACTGCTGGAGAAGCAGCTGAGAGGTCTCCATCCGATCCGTAGCAGGCAGAAGGACAGCCACTGGGCCTGGCTTGGGCTCTTGAAATCTCACAGCCCACCTCCCATGACACACTTCCTCCAACAAGGACACAGCTTCTAATTCTTGTCAGTGCCACTGCCTGATGACAAGAATTCAAATATGTGAGCCTATGGGGCTGTTCTTATTCAAACCATCACAGGTTCCTTAGGAGCAGAAAAGACTCACAGACAGCTGCGTCACCAAAGCCCACAGCAGCGTGGGTGGCAGCTCACAGAGCTGGGGTCCTGGAGCACACAGGCAGCTCAGCGGGTTGGAGGGTCCTTTCAGGTACCTCAGCTGGGCTGAGCCTCTTTTAAGCGGCCAGTTTGCTGAGCATCTCTCAGCAGTCATTACGGCGTCTACACTCTTGGAGAAGAAAGGGTACTGAATCTGATTAGCTCCAGGGACTTCCTGAGGATGCTTCCATCTTCATGAGCTACTCTTGAGGTGGAGTGTCTCTCCTCCCCTTGGAGCAGTGGCCCTCAACCTGTGGGTTGTGACCCCTTTGGGGTCAGATGATCCTTTCACAGGGGTCGCCTGAGACCATTGGAAAACACAGACATTTACATTATGATTCAACAGTATCAAAATGACAGTTATGAAGTAGCAACGAAAATAATTTTATGGTTGGGGGGCACTACAACATGAGGAACTGTGTCAAAGGATCACAGTCTTGGGAAGGCTGAGAACCACAGTCCTAGCAGATCTCTGTGAGTTCATGGACAGTCTGGTCTACAGAGTGAGTGCCAGGACAGTCAGGGCTACTCAGAGAATCCCCGACTAAAAACAAAACAAAACAAAAACAAACAAACAGACAAACAAAGATGTTTTGCTCTGGTGGGGTGGGGTGCAGGGTACCTGCACTCAAATACACACTCACACTCACACACACACACACCATTAAAATTAAATAAACCTTTATTTTTAATTTTACTTTTTTTTTGAGACAATCTCTCTGTATAGCCATAAAACTCATTACATATATCTACCTGTCTATGCCCCTTGAGTGCTGGGATTCAGTATGTGCACCATTACACACAGCTTTTTTATTTTTAAAAAATATTTTATCCACCGGGCGTTGGTGGCGCACGCCTTTAATCCCAACACTCAGGAGGCAGAGGCAGGCGGATCTCTGTGAGTTCGAGGCCAGCCTGGTCTACAAGAGCTAGTTCCAGGACAGGCTCCAAAGCCACAGAGAAACCCTGCCTCAAAAAAAAAATCATATGAGTATGAGTGTTTTGCGTGCATGTCTGAACTGGAGCTACAGGTGGTTGTGAGCCATTTTGTGGGGACCAGACACTGAACCTGGGTCCTCTGGGAGAGCAGCCAGTGCTGTTACCCACTGAGCCATCTCTCCAAGCCCTAAATCTATTTTTAAAAGATATATGTGAATTTAACTGTCAAACAACGACTAAAAATATTTAAAAACTAAAATAACAAAGAACAAGTACACACACACTGAGTGGCAGAGTATATGTGTGAAGTCCCATCTCCAAGCCTGGAAACAACACACAGACACACAGACACACACACACAGACACTCACACAGACACATACATACACACAGACACAGACACACACATACACACAGACATACACAACACACACACTAAGAAAACTCAAGGAGTAGTCACGGTGGACTTGGACAGGGCCCCTATAAGATCGTCAATCTCCCTCTGGAAAGAGGGACAAGCCTCAGTTATGGCTGTCGGGTAGATGTCAGCTTCTGATTGGCTTCCTTGGATCACAAGCAGCTTGTGGAACCGGAAATGGGTGCACAGATGCGCGGGGCCTGACTTCCTGTCGCAGACCCCTGTGTCCTGGGGAATGGGGCAGGAATGATACCTGGGGGGTCTGGGGGAGCCCTGCAGAGCAGATATTTGCCTTCCTGCCCCCAGGATAACCCTTTTCGCCAGAGGATTGCACAGGTCTTCTCTCAAGATGGGGACGGCCACATGACCTTAGAGAACTTCCTGGATATGTTCTCAGTGATGAGTGAGATGGCTCCTCGAGACCTGAAGGCCTACTATGCTTTTAAGATTTATGGTACGTGCCGGGCCCTGGGGTGGGAGCCAGACGGAGACCAGACAATGCTCATCTCCCCAGGGACTCCAATTCCCACAGGGCCCTGGCCTCCGCCCTATCCCAGACCTCCCTGTACACTAACTAGTCCAGCCACATTAGGCTCATCCTTTCTTGAATTTATCAAATGCTTCCAGCCTCTGACGTTTTCTTTTGCTGTGCCCTCTGCTTACAGCACCATCTACAGCCCCTCACTGGGGAACTCTAGGCAGGAGCTATACCCCTCAGCCATGCCCCCAGTGCTTCACTAGGGGATTTCAGGCAGGAGCTCCACCCTGAACCACGCCCTCAGCCTGTCACTGGGGAACTCTAGGCAAGGGCTCCACCCCTGAGCCACGCCCCCCAGTGCTTCACTAGGAGATTCTAGGCAGGGGCTCCACCCCTGAGCCACGCCCCGAGTGCTTCATTAGGGGATTTTAGACAGGAGCTCCACCCTGAACCACGCCCTCGGCCTGTCACTGGGGAACTCTAGGCAGGGGCTCCACCCCTGAGCCAGGCCCCCAGTGCTGCACTGGGTGTTTCTAGGCAACGACTCCACCCTGAGCCATATCCCCAATAAAACTCTCCCTGGCCACAACAGCTCACACACCCCATTCATGGTGATTCCTCTGGTGACTGATTCACTTGAGCTCCTCGGTTAGCTGACTGGGTGGATGGATAGATGAAAAAGTTATCCCAATGGCTGGCAAACAGGAGGCACTCAATAAATGCTTGAGTAAGAGAAACTCCGTCATCGTGGTGCCTGGCATGTAATAAGTGTTACATAATTAAACAGTTGTCACAATGTCTGGGATGGCTCTCTGTGCCTAGGGTGAGAAGCTCTGGGTAATCAGTAGGTAATCAATAACTGCTGCACGAATTTTGGGCATCCCTGTATAGTTCCAAAGCATGGGGACAGACATGTCCTCCTGCCACCTGGTGTCCCCAGCCCTACTGTTGGCTTCACAGACTTCAACAACGATGACTACATCTGTGCCTGGGACCTGGAGCAGACGGTGACCAGACTGACCCGTGGCGAGCTGAGTGCCGAGGAGGTGACCCTGGTCTGTGAGAAGGTGCTGGACGAAGCCGACAGCGACCACGACGGGCGGCTGTCCCTGGAGGACTTCCAAAACATGATCCTGCGGGCACCAGACTTCCTCAGGTGCAGGTTCAGACCCAGGGAAGAGAGACCTCAGGGAACTCCCCTAAATGCTGTGGCTTCAGCCCACTCTGTCCGAGGACCAAGGCCAGGAGTCTGAGGGCAGCTTCTCTGGGCAGAAGAAGGGTTTCCATCAACTGCCACAGTGCTTGGCTGGGAACTGTCCACACACACAGCTGGCCTCGGCAGCCTGGGGTAGGGCAAGAGCCCCTTTGTGGGGCTGGTGGGTAGATGCCTGTATGGGGACACAGGGTTGGCAGACTGTGGCCCAGGGTCACATCCATCCATTCCTTTATTTGTTTGGTTTGATTTTTTTCTCAGAAAGGCTCTCACTATTTAGACATGGCTGTAGCATGAGTTCTAATTGGTCTTAATAATAAAAACCCAGAGTTATATTATATTAGGGGGTGAAAGCTGAAAGATCAGAGAAGCAGAGTAGTCACTAGAGCTCTTACCTCCAGGAAATCCTCAGACTGGAAAGAAACAGAGTTCCTGTCTCCTCCTGTCTCATTGCTTCCTCTCTCTGCCCAGCCATATCACTTCCTGTCTGTCTGTACAGACCTCCAGATCTCTATGGTTAACTAGTGGATAACTCTACCCTCTGATCTTCAGGTAAGCTTTGTTTGTTAGAGTACAAACAAGATATCACTAAATTTCCCCCTTTTTTTCCTAAAATAAAAGGCTATAACTAATATAAGAAAAACTATATATAACAAGTACAATAACTATATACAATATAAACAGGCAATAAATATGTCAACAATGTCTAATCCATTGGCAACTATAAATCCAGAAAAAATACTCCATATCTGTCCTATCTTGGCGAGTCCAAAATGTTGAACTAATTCACTTTCTATTCTAACTTGCATTACCAAAACCATCTTTTTATGTCTCTCACCCTTACACACTTTACAGTTCTTTAGTGAACTTCTTTTCTGACTCTGGTAACAAGGAAAACTATAACTATAAATTATTCAACCCTATTAGAGACCCCAGAGGGAAATAATATTACCTGAGTAAGCAGGAAGTGCAAGTAAGTGACTTCCAAAAAATGTGAGAAACGACAGAAACAGGGCATCCATCTTCAGCCTATAGGCTGAGCATATCTAAGACTTTTCTGTGAAGCTAGATATTCTGAATGGCTGTCCTGCCTTTTCTTGGCAGTTCTTTCTTTTGTGTTCTGCTTGTCCAATTTGGACAACATCTTGTTTACAGTTGATGCAATGGCAGTTTCTTGCCCAGTGACTAACTTTTGTCACAAAGAAATGTATTTCTTTGATGCCCACCATCTTCTCTTAAGTTGCTTGGCACAGCCAGGAGCAGATGTAACTCACTGTCATAAAAAAAGAAGTCATGTTATTAAAACACCTTAAATGCCATATTCTGTAGATCTCTGAAGTGTTTGAAAATGGCCTGCCTATCTAAAATATCTGTTTGACCTTGAAAACATACCTAATATGACTACAAGTTTGATTGTAATAGGTGACTAATTACTAACCTGCGTTTCCTTATTCTAAATAGTTGGTAATAATAACTATTAAGGACTAAAATTTGCATTACATTGTTAAATGAGTTACATAGGTACAAAACCTCAAGCAAGATTAGAAATATATGTACAATATGTTCTAACAAAAATAATTTCAATTTTGTATCAGTATACAAAAAACATCCAAGCCAATGTAAGATATTTAAAACTAGTAGTTGGTTTTTTGATCTAAAATTTGATTTAAAAAACTACCTTTTTTATCCAATTTCTATATCCCCCTTATTTGTTTTCAGAGTAGATTCAATAATCTACCATTATATCCTACCATATCTACATCCTGCTTTTTGTTTTCAAAACAAGAACTCTGAATCTAATCTCCTTTCAGCTCTCTTCCTGATCCTAACCTGATCCTAACAACTTGTAACCAACTCCCTAAACAATGACAAACATCCGTGACCCATTGAACAACCCAAACCACCTAGGTCTTGGGAATGTGAGTGTCATTTTCTGAAATTTACTTCCTGCTGTCTGGGGGAGACGGCATCTTTAGGTGATCCTGAAAGGAAAAATGTTGGGTTAATTTTTCCCAACTAGGAGAAGTAGCTGTAGCATTTGCTGTCCATTCTCTGTGCAATGGGAAAGTGCAGGGCTTGTCTCAAGGCCTGGTCAGAGTAGTCTGTGAGGCTGGATCATCTCAGCTAGCTGCCTCAGTTTGTAGTCCAAAGCTGATCTTTAGGTGGTGTTTTTTCAGCTTCATGGTGTTATCACAGTCCTGGTGGAATCATCATTGTGGGGCCCCATCATCCTTTTTGATACCTCAAAGATGGCTTTTACGCATTATCTTGCTTCAGTGCAGAAAACTTAAAAATGTTCTCAAAGAGGTTAAGGAATCAATATTTGTTATGTATATCCAGAGTACAAAAACTAAATTCCTAGTTACCAGATACTCAAACCAGAAATCATGTCAGGAAGCTAGATGAAGCCTTTTTCTAGAGTGCTCTGTATGACCATTAATATCATGACAAAAATTAAAAATATATTAATCTTATAAATTTTGAGACAATATTTGTATCTCAAGAAAATCTTCAAAGACTCAAAATAGAACCAAAAGATTATGAGATTAGTGGCAATTGAATAGTCCCTTAATTTTTGTTTTTCTTCTGTCCCCTATCAGGTGGCTCTTCTGATATGAGCAGAAATTTTGCATTTTACTTTAACAAGCATGCTTGGGTTTAGAGAAGGAGAGATCCACACTCCAAATCCAAAGCCAGCTTTAATTTCTAACTGGATGGGGACTATAAAAAGACCACTAGCATTATATGTCTGTAGAGAAAAGCAGAAACCAAGATTTGGGAAGATTTATGAAATTGTATCTGTTGGAGATGTGATATGCTCGTAGGCCAAATTACTCTTTTTCTTGGGGCATTTTTTCCTGGATGGTTTGTCCTTTTTCTTCAGATGTCTTATTTGTCCAGTGGCCTTCAGATTTCTTAGCTGGATGCCTTCATTATCCTGAAAAGACAAAAACAAAACCCTTCCCCTCCCCTAATTTTGGGGGAGGTTCCCTTATGGTAAGTTATATCTGATCCAATGAAAAGCATTTGTTAGTTTTAAAGTTAGTTTAGATTGAACGGCCATGCTGCTTGATGAACTATCACCTCTTCTAATCAAAGGGTGTCTCTTGTTGAAAGTTAATCTTTATCCATTTTTATAGTATCCATATCTTTTCTTCTCCTGTGGAAACAAAAGCAAAACCTCTTCTCCAATGTAACACATATCCTGATTTCCATTCTGATGTCAGCACATGTTTAAAATATACTGGCTGATTTAATTCCATACTTTTTTCTATTATCCAGTGTCTCTCCACAGCTGTCGTTCCTTTCCCATTAACATTCAGAAAGTTCAAAATTAGTAAAGCATTATGTAACCTATTTCTGGGGGTCTTTATTGCCCCTTTCTGTTCACTTAGCATATCCTTTAGAGTTTGATTAGATCTTTCTATGACTGCTTGCCCTGTAGGATTGTGTGGTATACCTGTAATATGCTTTATATTGTAATAAGTAAAATCTGTTTCATTTTACTAGAGACATATGCTGGAGCATAGTTAGTCTTAATTTGTACAGATATCCTGTGATGGCCATAACTTCTAGCAAATGTGTGATTACAGAACCAGTCTTTTCAGAACTCAAAGCAGTTGCCCATTGAAGCCTGAATAGGTATCAGTGATGTGGTGTGCATATTTTAATTGTCCAAATTCTACAAAATGGAACACATTCATCTGCCAGATTCCATTCCTTTGAGTACCCTTTGGGTTACTTCCTGATGGTAGTGGAGTTTGGTTGTATAAAGAACAAGTAGGACATTTCCTTCTGATTCCCTTGGCTTGTTGCCATGTGAAGGAAAAATCTTTTTTTTCCAAACCTTTGCTGTTGATATGTTGAAATGTTGAAATTCTGAGGCCTCTAGCACATTTCCTATCAATAGGTGATCAATTTAATCATTACCTTGTGCTAGAGAGCCTGGAAGGCCCCTACGGAATCGGATGTATGTTGTATATATAGGATGATTCCTATTCCTGATTCTTTCTTATAACTGAATAAATAACAAAGTCAATTCTGTGTCATCTGGTATAAATTCAGCAGTTTTAATATGTAAAACAACTCCTTGTGCATATTGCACATCAGTAACTATGTTGAGAAGTTCCATAAAATTCATCAATACCATGAGAATAGCATACAATTCTGACTTTTGGACAGAATCATAAGGGCTTTTGAGTCACTTTACTTAAATTTCCTGACTTGTAACCTGCCTCTCCTGATTTATTTGCATCAGTGTAGAATGTAGGGGTTCCAGATATTGGTGTTCACTCTACAACGTGAGGAAGGATCCAGTTAGTTCTCTTATAAGTTGAATTCTCTTACTTTTGGGATAATTGTTAATCTCTCCCAAAAATTTTCTGTCCATAATTTGTCAATTTCATCATTAGTAGAAGGTACTATAATTTCTGCTGGGTCTATTCCTGCTAATTGATTGTCTCAATTTCCTTTTAGAATCAACTCAGAGACCTTTTCCACATAAGTTTTTATTTTTTACTCTACTTAGGTGGCAAAAAGATCCATTCTAGGCCGGGCATTGGTGGTGCATGCCTTTAATCCCAGCACTTGGGAGGCAGGGGTAGGCGGATCTCTGTGAGTTCAAGGCCAGCCTGGTCTACAGAGTGAGTTCCAGGACAGCCTCCAAAACAATACAGAGAAACCTTGTCTCAAAAAAACAAACAAAAAAAAAAGATCCATTCTAAGACAATATCTTCCCTCTGCATTAATATTCCAGTAGGAGAATGCTGAGAGGGTAAAAAAAACCAAAATACAATCAAGTTTTGGATTCAAACAATCCATATGTGTATCCTGTAATTTCTTTTCCACCAAAGCTAATTCTCTCCCAGCTTCAGCTGATAATTCTGTTGGAATATTTAAATCCTGTCACTGTCTAAGGTTTTGAACAAATTACTCAGTACATTTTTTTCTACTCCTCCCAATCTTTGAAAGTCATTAAGAGTTAGCAATAAATTTCTCCTAATTTGCACCTTTGGGGATCTAATTTTCTGTAGAACTATTTTATGTCGTTAATAATTAATAGAATCTCCTCTTTGTATTTTTCAGGAGCAATTTGTAATCTTCAATAAGGCACATTTTTTTTTACTTCTTCAAACATTCTTTCTAATGTATTTACTTTTGAGCCAGCTAGTAAAATATTGTCCATATAATGGTAAACTATAGGTTTGGGAAATCGCTTACATATTATTTCCAGTGGCTGACTTACAAAATATTAGTACAGGGTGGGGCTTTTTAACTTTCCCTGTGGGAGAACCTTCCATTGATCTCTCTCTCTCTCTCTCTCTCTCTCTCTCTCTCTCTCTCTCTCTCTCTCTCTCTCTCTCTCTGTTTTTTTCAAGACAGGGTTTCTCTGTATTGCTTTAGAGCCTGTCCTGGAACTTGTTCTGCCAACCAGACTGGCCTTGAACTCACAGAGATCTGCCTCCCTCTACCTCCTGAGTGCTGGGATTAAAGGCATGCACCACCAATACCTGGCTTTCATTGATATCTCTTAATAGGCTAAGAATTGTTATAAGTAGGCACCATGAAGGCAAAATTTTCTGTTTTTTTTCTTGTAAAGGTATGTAAAAAAAAAACCAATCTTTTAAATCAATAACTATAAGAGGCCATCCTTTAGGTAATAAAGAAGGCAAAGGAATTCCAGACTCCAAGAGAGCGCATTGGTTGAATTGTCTTATTAACAACTCTTAGATCTGTTATCATTCTCCATCTTCCAGATTTCTTTTTAATAACAAGGGCTGGTTGATTTTTTGGGGGGGGGTTGCTTTCTTTCTTTCTTTCTTTTGTTTTTCTTTTTCTTCTTTTTTCTAGACAGGGTTTCTCTGTGACTTTGGAGGCTGTCCTGGAACTCGCTTGGTAGTCCAGGCTGGTCTCGAACTCACAGAGATCCGCCTGCCTCTGCCTCCCGAGTGCTGGGATTAAAGGCGTGCGCCACCACCGCCTGGCAGGCTGGTTGATTCTTCAATATGCCGAGCATTTAGCTGCTCCTGTACTGGCTGTTCTAAGGTCTGCAGTTTCTCTGTTGTTAAAGGCCATTGCTTAACCCATCCAGGTTTGTCCATCAACCATTTTAAAGGTAGGGCTGTTGATGCCTTTGAAAGGTCAGCAGCTGTGGTGCCCTGTTCTTGTACAATCTGATTGGTCAGTGACTGTTCTTTATAAAACCTTCTAATATTTTCCCAGAAACATATGTTAATTTACAGTTTGTTTCTGAGATTGGAGGAATGTTACTCTGAGTATTCCATTGCTGTAACAAATTGCATCCCCGTAAGTTCATTGCTATGTTAGCCACATATGGCTTTAATTTTCCTCTCTGTACTTCTGGCCCTATGGATTTGAGCCATCTCACATTCTGTTTTTACCTGGGATAAAGTTCCAATCCCTAAAAGCTGACCATTTATCTCCTGAAGAGGCCAATTTGGATGCCAGATTCTGGTGCAATTATTGTGACATCCACACTAGTGTCTACCAGACCTTCAGTGACAATGTCATTTATTTGTATTTTTAATTTTGGCCTTTATTCATTTATAGAATTGCCAAAATATTTGCTTTATGGTTTCTCCTGAAGTCCTTGTTCTCTCCTCTATAGCTTTGCTATCATCCAGAGCAGCATGGTTTCTTATAACAAGCATTAGGTTCTTTAACTGCTCTGGGAAGGAGTTTCCTCTATGGTTACAGGAAATGGCTGAACCGAATTTGGCATGGGGGCTTGCAAGAGGCCCCTCAAGGCCTTCCCTGAAGGCAAAGGGTTACTTGACTGTTCCTTGTTGACCTACATTTATTTGTCCAATGCCTGCCTTTGCCACACCTTCTGCATAATTCAGAAGGGAGAGGAATTCTGTTTGAGCTATGCTTAGAAAAAAAAAACATTCTTTCTAGGAACACCCTGCCTACAATTCCCTTTAAGGTGACCTGTTTGCCACATTGCAACACTTGACATTTTGATTTTTCTTCAACCCTCTGGAAATCACCTCTCCTATCCATGATGGTCATGAGACTCAATATTGATTGTGTCTCAGACCCATTCCTCCATGGTGCTGATGATGCCTTTAAAAGCCGAACTACCCATTTGCATTGTGCATTGGCATTTTCAAAAGCCAGAGGCTCAACTTTTATTTGTCTAGCTGAAGTCAGTCTTTGTAAGAAATTCGCGAGGGCTCAATTTTCCTTCCTACTTCTCCAATTCTGTCCCAAGCATTCAAAGCTGCTGTGTGTCATAAATCCAGGATGTGATCATCACCATAGAGATTGCCTTTGTACATCAGCATAATCTCCCTCTCCAAGAAGTTGGTCTTGGGAGATTTCCATTCCTCTAGTCGGGCTTTGTTGTTCAGTGGTCTTTCTGCTGCATCTTCCCACCAGGTCCTCTGTTGTAATTGAGGACCAGGTTCCAAGACTGCTGTAACCAATTCTCCCCAGACTTGAGGGATAACATCTATTTCCCAATAGGTGAACGCATGCCACATGAGACTATCACTTCCTTGAATCTCCTTAAATCTAGCATTTCCACAGGAACCACTTAACTCTTGCACAGTCTTAGGGATATCTGTCTTTTGGCAGTTCCTGTAAGGTGACTGGATAAATTAATATTGGTTGTTTGAAAACCTTAGGCTGTTCCTTTCTAACCTTATAACAAAACCCTTAAATTGATTCTCTATTAAATTCTGCGGGTCTGAATGTCTCTATGATCTGTTTTATTAATTGTTCTAAACCTTGTATCTTAGCACTCATATTAATCAACTTTTTAGTGATAAGACAAAAGTGGTAAAATTGATAATGTTTATTATTAACATTACATAAATCCCATCTGAATTAATTATCCTCTCATTTAATTGTTCCATTTTCAAACTGTCCAGGGTATATCATACAGAAACATAAACCCCTCCATTGTAATAATGTTTCCTATTTTTTAATGTAGGGAAAACTCTCTCTTTTAACTAACTCCCCCCTTTAAGAATTGTTTTAGATAATCTGCTGATGATGTCAGTGAGCTGTGAGGCATAGCACGTCTGAGCAGAGAGCACAGGCGGTGACAGACTGGCCGAGGACGGTTGTAGCTGCTAGCGTGTAGCCGCGAGCTGAGAGCCGTAACTCCAGGCGAGGGCATCTAAAGGAAACCGCAACCCATGGGGAGAGGGAGCCGGAGTTGGTTGAAGAGAGGCTACCAGAACAACAGCTACACATCTCAAACTCGATTAGGGCTTCCGGAAAAAGAGGGGAGAACCAGTCAGCTGTGGGGTGACTCTAGCAGGAGCTCCGAATGCATTCCGGCCTGTGCCAGTGCTGCAAAGCCACAGGCAAGGGCTTTTTCATAAATTTATGCCTTTCAGTTGGGTGCCAATCTGTGGCATGAGTTCTAATAGGTTTAATAATAAAAACCCAGGTGGAAGCTGAAAGATCTGAGAAGCAGAGCAGCCACTAGAGCTCTTACCTCCAGGAAATCTCAGACTGGAAAGAAATTAAATTCCTCCTCCTCCTGCCTTACCACTTCCACTCTCTGCCCTGTCTGTCTGTACAGAGCTCTAGACCTCTATGGTTAACTAGTGGCTATCTCTACCTTCTGATCTTCAGGCAAGCTTTATTTGTTAGAATATAAACAAGATATCACTACAAACCTGGCTAGCCTGGAACTCTCTAAGTAGACCAGACAGGACTTGAACTCACAGAGATTCACCTGCCTTTGCCTCCCGAGTACTGGCTTTAAAGCACCTGCTGTCACGTTAAGCCTAAGCACTTGTGTTTATCAGAGGATTAAACTGAAGCTCAGAGAGGGCCAGTCTGGGAAGGAGCTGGCGAGTAAATGCTTATCCAGACAGGTGCTTACAATCCCCATGGAGATCTGGGCCTGGTAGCACATGCGCCTACAGGTGAAGCATCCAGAAGTCTGAGGCAGAAGGATTACCAGGAGTTACAGGGCTGCCTGAACTACAGAATGAGCCAAGGTCTTCAAAACCCAAAACTAACCAAATGAAAAAGGTCTGGGGGGTCTGGTGAAAGGGCTCAGTGAGTAAGTGTGATTGCTGCTCAGGCCGAAGACCTGGGTTCTGTTCCCAGCACCCACATGATGGCTCACTACTGTTTGTACTCGTTCCAGGGGATATGATACTCTCTTCTGGCCCCTGCAGGCTCCTGCATGTAATATGCTGCATATGCCCATACCCAGGCATACTCGCACACAAATAAATAAACAAATAGGTAAATGTAAGTACCTATTTGGAGAGCTGCTGCCTGTGATTTCTAGGGTGTCCATGTCCCTGTGGGTCCCTGCTTGCCTCTGGGTCTAGAAGAGGAGGTGCTGGGGACGTAGTGTCTATTTGTCACTTTCCAGTGATGAGTCTGCTTTTTCCACACAGCACCTTCCACATCCGCATCTGACAGCGCTCAGAGGACGTGGCCTGGCCCGCACCCGTCTCCACTCAGACCTCTCTGAATGAACAGCAGTCAGGCCTGCCTCAGGACCTTTGCTCTTTGCCGTGTGGCCACACCCATGGATTGCCATCTTCCATTCGTATAACAAACCGACTTCTAGACCTCCAGGTTAGCGAATGGAAGAAGTCCAATGCCACTCCATAGTTCCTTTCCCGAGGCCAACTTGAGCCCAGGAGGCCTCATTTTTCACTCACATCTTCATGTTTCATGGATTCCAGGAGCCCAAGGTTGTCCCAGGGCCTTTGGGGAGGGCTCCCTCCTGCCCACCAGGTGGTTATCCCCCCAGACAGCCCAGCCACCCAGATCTTTCCAGAACACGCACCTGGTGATTAAAAGCACCAGGTCTGGGGCTGAAGAGATGGCTCAGCTGTTAACAACGCCTGCTACTCTTGCAGAAGACTTGGTCTTGGGTTGTGTTCCAGCAGCTACATGATGGTGGTTCTCAACTGCCTGAGCCGCCCGTCCCAGCAGAGCTGACGCCACCTTCTGGCCTGTATGGGCACTTATGTGCACCCACCCAACCACATACACACACTTAAAAATGAAAATAATTCTAGCCGGTTGGTGGTGGTGCACACCATTAATTCCAGCACCTGCAGAGGCAGGTGGATCTCTGTGAGTTCAAGACCAGCCCTGTCTACATACTGCGTTCCAGGACAGCCAGGGCTACACAGAGAGACTTTATCTCAAACAAAACAAAAATAATAAATATGGAACTAGGAAAGGCTGGTGGGGCACAACTCTAATCTTGTTACTCAGGAGGCGGAAGCAGGTGGGTCTCTGCCAGTTTTGGCACAGCCAGGGATACATAATGAGACCCTGTCCCAATTAGTAGTGGAGATGATGATAAGTGGAAGTCCCAGGCCCTCCCTGCCTCTTTTCTGTATGTCCCTCCTGAGGAGCTGCTGCCTTCCTCAACCCCCAAGTGAAGAAATGTGCCCAGAGAGGCCATGTTCATCGACGATCACACAGCGCTCTAATGTAGGAGTCTCTTCAGAGGCCACTGCCAACACCCACTTTTGTGTTTTGGGGGGCATTTGTGTGCTCTCGTGCAGGTGGATGTCAGAGGACAACTTGTAGGAGTCAGATCTCTCCTTCCACCATGGGGCCTGAGGCTCAAACTCAGATTTAGCAGCAAGAGCCTTTACTGGAGTTATCTTGACCGTTTAGATTTCTTTTAACACTGGTCTGTGTTAGTGTCCTTGGGGTTCTGACAGGATACGTCCTCAGCTGCAGTCAATAAGAGCACCACCTGTGCACTTTCACTATGTTCCCTTTTAAAAGGTGGGCCTTAGTCAGGTGTTGGTGGCGCACGCCTTTAATCTCGGCACTTGGGAGGCAGAGGCAGGCGGATCTCTGTGAGTTCGAGGCCAGCCTGGTGTACAGAGTGCGTTCCAGGACAGCCTCCCATCTCTTTCCCTCTCCTAATCCATTCCATCTCCCCCTCCTTTCGTCTCTATAGCCACTCCTGTCCCCAGCCTCCCTCATCTCCTCCTCCCTCCCTTTCCCCTCCTCCAATAAGAAAACTCTCCACACGAGCTATGTTGAATGATGGCTTGACTCTCTTTCACCGCCTTTTTATAAACAGCAGTCTGGAATTCATTAAGTAGGCTAGTGTGGCTGAATGTGAACTATGAAGGCTCATGGATATAGAGGGCTAACTCATGATCAGAGAGCTCGGATACAGGCTTGACATGTGTTGTGCCCACCAAGTCACTGCGACAATTATTTTTAAAGTTATATTTACTGTGTGTGTGTGAACACATGTATGGGGCGGTTGGAGGGCAACTTTCAGGTGCTGGGTCTCCCCCTCCATAGTGTGAGTGCCAGGGATCGAACTCAGGTAGTCAGGCTTGCCTGCAAGCCTTTGCTGCCTTACCAATGGGCCATCTCATCCGAGTCCCTAACGTGGTAATTCTATTATTATTAAAACAATCAGGTCCCTCTGTTGGCAACTGCAGAATTCAGCCCTGTAACCCTTTCCAACAGTTCTCTGGTTGTGAGGGCAGGGGTGGGGACTGGAAAGAAGAGATGGGTACCCAAGATAAAGGGGGTGCTGTCAGTACCCAGGGGCGAAAGGTGGTGGTCGGAGGTATTCCTCAGGTAGCCAGCCCTGGGCTTCTGGAAACTCTTCAGGCTCTGGTTTGGTTGCCTGGACCGACAGGGCCCTCACCACCTTTCCACGCCAGGCCCTGACCCCTGAGACTGCCTCCTTCCAGCCAGCAGGCCTGGAGGCTGTGAAGGTGGCGTCTCCCTGGGGCTCTGAGGGGTTCTGGAGAGAGGTGGCTGCACCGGGGTCCGCGGAATGGCAAGCACTGTCCCAGCTGGATGCTCGAGTCACCGGGCTACGGTGCTGCACCACACGCCTGGCGTCTCCCAGCAGGTTCGTGGCTGACAGGTGTGAAGTGAGCCTCTGTTTCACCTTCCGGCTGGTCTCTGGCAGCGTCCTCAGGTTCTTCCACAGTCTCTGTCCTGCCTCCCCAAAACGTGCTTTTGGGGAGGAGGGGGCTGATGCGAGCTTTCCATCAGTTCCTGCGGAAGGCTTCCTTTCAGGAGCCTGGAACAGAGAACGCGGAACAGAGCAGGGGTGGCCTGGGGCCCGGCTGATCAATAAAGCTCTAGGCAGCCCCACAACCTCGTCCCAGAGCGCTGGAGCTCCCAAGCCCTATCCCTGCCCCATCTCTCTGTGTGGCTTTACCGCTGCTTGTCTACACTGAAGATTCATTAGCTCCTTCAAACGGCCAGGTCCTGGGGGGCTCCTTGAGGCCTGGTGGAGCACACCTTTAATCCCAACACTCAGAAGGCAGAGGCAGGAGGATCTCTGTGAGTCTGAAGCCAGCCTGGACTACATGGGGAGTTCAGGCCAGCCAGGGCTACATAGACTTTATCTCAGCAGAAACAAACAGAAACCCTTCCTCTTGGAAGGGTGGGGACAGCCGTGCAGAAGCAGCCATCTGGACTTCGAGGTTTGATGGGAGAAACAGAAAGGATATATACACACCCAGAATAAACAAAAAAAGCCTCTCAAGTTGGAAGTTGTTCTCTGTAACAACCACACAGGGTGATATGTGTGGGGAAACTTTAGATCCAGAGACACTTGAATGACTTCTAAAAGAAGTGTCTGGGCATGTGCAATGGTCCTGTGGAGGGAGCCGGGAGGAAAGGCCCGGGGCAGAGCAGCACAAAGGGTTCTCAGGGTGGCGGATGGGTCGGTCTGAGGGCAAGCACCCGAAGTTGCAGAGTTCTTGGTTGCTTCTGATGGGGTGGGGATGGAGCCCTGAACCTTAGGCACCCCTGACAAGCTCTCTACCAACTGAGCAACACTCAACCCAAGACTGCAACGTGGAGTCTAATTCGAGAGTGTGGAAGTCACTCGGAAGTTGTTTCTTCTTTAATTAACTAGCTACAAAAAGAGAACTCTTTCTAGAAAAGGCCTGCTCTCGCATCTTTCTCTGCCAGCCCCGACCAGGCTGGAGGTGCCTACCTCCTCGGGTGGGCAAGAAGAAGGCCTCTGAACTTCCGTGGGGCCGCGGTTTTCAGCATCCTGAACCAGGGCATTAGAGTACAGGAAGAGATCTTCGTAGTCCACGTTTGCTGGATCCTTCTGCAGGGTGTGGAAGAGGCATAGGGCTCAGACCTAGCAGTGAAAAAGGCTGGGGTGGGGAGAACCATGGGTGGTGGGGACCCCTGACCAATCTCAGAACCCAGGTCACACCCACCGAGCCTCAGGAAAAGAGCCCCGCCCACAGTGCCTAGACCACGCCCACCAGCTCGGATGAAAGAGCCCTGCCCACAAGTCTCAGAAAGAGCTCCAACTACTGCAGATCTTAGCCCACGCCCATCATCCATTAGAGGAAAGAGCCCTCCCATAGCAGGTTTAGGTCACATTCATCGTCCATAAACTGAAAGAGCCCAGCTCACGCCAGGTAGGCCACGCCCACCAGCCTCCGAGGAAAGCCATTCCTGCAAATACACCCCTGTTGAATTCCCTGCAGGGGGCCTCTGGTACTCCCTGGTCACCGGCTGATGTCCCCTTGTCCCCACCTGCCCGCAGGCTTGGGTCAGCAGCTCCCCGTATGGACGAATGGGTTTTTGCTGGTGGAAAGTGACCAGGGCGTCCAGAGAAGCGTGGCTCACGTGATCCCCAGCAAGGCTGACCGTCCCGTCATCTGAGAGTTTCACCATGAAGTGACGGCAGCAGGCCTGGGCTCTGTGGAGACACGCTGCGGTTGGGATGCTGCCTCTGTACCTTGGTTTCCCCAGTTACCACACGGGGTTTCTAAGGTCCACCCCAGGAGTTCTTGGGTGGATGAAATAAGGGGATACAAGCTAATTGTGGTGCCTGCCTGTCATCCCTGCGCTGGGGAGATTGAGGGTTTGGAGGCCAGCCTGGGCTACACAGTGAGACTCTGTCTCAACCAAATAGTAGTAGCAAAATGATGATAATCTTTTCATTTTAAAGATACAATCTCATGTGGTCCAGGCTACACTTAAACTTTCTATGTAGCCAAGGATGACCTTGAATTCCAGGTCCTCCTGCCTCAGCCTCCCCCTCTTTGCTGGGTTATCAGATGTGCACCTCCACACTACATAATCAGTTCAAGGCCAGCCTGGCTAAGAAACCCTCTCCCAAATAGGAAGACAGGGAGAAAGAGAGAGTAGGGACAGGGTGTTTATACAGAAGCTCCACCTCAGCCCCCACCCCACCCTATGCCCCCCCCAGCTCAAGCCATGCCTACAGGGTATTTAAGATCTGATCTCTAGACCCTCCATGTGATCTCTCTCGGGTCTTCCTGAGAGTCAGCCAGGAGTTGCTTTGCTCTGTCTTATTAATTGGGTTGGATTTGGCTTTTTGCATTGCAGAGAAACCCACAACCACGGATTTCAAAATACGTATCAGAGACGGAGGAAGAAAGGAAGGAAGGAAGGAAGGAAGGAAGGAAGGAAGGAAGGAAGGAAGGAAGGAAGGAAGGCTTCCCTAATGTTCTAAGATGCCAAAATCAGGCTTTGAGGCCCCAGGAGCTTGCAGCCCTGGCTTCCCTGACCCGGGCATGGGACTTCATGTCACTAATTTGAAGGTGAAGGGTGCAGGAGAGCCACCCTCAGACCCCTGCCTGCCCCAGCCTGAGATCGAGTTTCAGGTCTGCCCCTGCGTTCCATGACTGCTGGAGACAAGCAGCCTGCAGACTGGGCAGACTCCCCATGCATGAGGTGACCTTGGCCGTCTTCCAGAAGCCTTGGCCTAATCTCCCCTATGGTGCCCTCTCCCTGAAGCCTGGGCCTAACCTCCCCCATGGCCTTACTTGTAGGAAAGGGTATAGCCCACATGGCTGTGGCTGACTCGGATAAGAAATGTCCCCAGGGGTTGTGAGTCCAGCAGGTTCTCAGCAACTCTGGAAGAGACACAGAGAAAGGCAACTGGCTGGATATGAAGGCAAGCATAGGGGACGGCTGGGGTCCCGTTTGGCTTGGTTATGCACAGGGCACGCTTACAGCATTGCCCTTGGCAGCCTAGCTCTCACCTGTATGCTCTGTGCATGCATGTACACCCACCCCTCTGAGCCATGCACATAGCGACCTTGGATGTCTCATGCATCGGACTACCTGTATATCTCTCACTTAAGGATGGGATAAGTTCCCCCACCCCTAAAAACAATCACATTTAGTTTCTACTCAAGTGCACTCCCTGAGTATCTAGGAGGAAGAACTGAGGGTTGATCCTGGGCTGGCCAGATGGCGCTGCCAAGCCTGTCAGCCTGAATTCAATCGGGGGTGGGGGGACCCAATGTTCACAAATTGTCCTCTGACCTCCACACACAGTAAAGAAAGAAAATATAATAAAAACGTAAACACCTTGTTACAAAGAAAGAAACATTCTGACCCAGCCTCAACTGGCCCAGTGTGCATGTGCATTCAAGCAAACGCGTTTTTGGGGAGAATCCTTTGCTTCCCATCTTATACCTGTGTATAACTAGGCATGCGTGTGACTAGAATCAACTATATCACAGTAAAGGCATGCGCTGTGAGCAAAGACCTACATAATCCACCTGTGAATCAAAACGCAATTGCACAAGCACACTCCCTCGGCAAACAAACTCCCCTTGGAGAGCACACCTTTTTGGTCCCAGCACTCAGCAGGCAGAAGCAGAGACTAGCCTGTTTCAAGGACAGCGAGGGCAGGCAAATGTGCTTTGATACATTCAGAAGTCAGAGGACAAACCACAGAGTTGGTTTTCTCCTTTTGCCTTGTAGGTCCCAGGACTTGAACTTGCATAGTGAAGTTTGACTACAAGCACTGTTACCCCTTGAGCCATCTTGCTGGCCCTTGCTGTCAATCTTGACAATGTAACCCTCTCTAACCTGCACTGTTGCTTTGCTTCTAATTAGACAATTTTGCTGCTTTTGCAAATTCATGTGAGCCTTTAGCATAAGAAGCCAAGACCCTAGGAACACTTGACCCTGACCTAGGAACACCAGGGCAGGTCCTGGGTCTTGGGGACCCACACTTTCAGATTGCCTTTCTTTCCTTTTGGGGGGAAATGTCTGAAGTCGCTCAGGCTGGCCTCACACTCACTATTAGCTAGGGACAGCCTTGAATTTCTGGTCCTCCACCTCCTGCCTTCTGAGTACTGACGTCATTACGCCTGGTGTCTGCAGAGTGGGAACAGAACCAAGGACTTTGAGTATGCCAGGCAAGTACTCTACCAGCAGAGTCACAGCCTGAATGAGCAAATAACACTGTCTTTCTTGGTGGTTTGAAGTCACTGATGTTGACCTGAAGTAGATCTCCTATCTCCCACAGCCCCTGCCTGCCTGTCTCAAGCTTGAAATCCTCTTAGGTGGGACACGGTATCCAAGAGAAAAAAGCAGGGGCTATGGTTTGGGTCTGTCTCTTACACTGAGTCTAGAGCCCAGCTGTGCTATGCATGTGCTGTGTGACCTCAGGCAGGTGTCTAACCTGATCTGCTCCTCAGCTTCCCAGGGCCTGGAGCTAATCCGAGAGTAGTGAATAGGGGGCTTTGCTCCCAGATGTTCACTGTGGTTAGGGGAGACCAACCAGGAAGCAGGATATGGCAGGATGGGGGTTGCCATTATGTCCTTACTCTCGAGAGATGGTGCCATGGAACCACTCCGGGATCCCGTATTGGGCCAGCTGGTCCACCTGGGTATGCACAAACCAGTCCAGCCGAGGGGGCAGTGGCGGGGGCAGCCTCCCCGTTTCTGCCATGGCATCCAGGGGAGGGGATCACCTGTGGGGAGAAGGAAGGGGTGGGTGTCTCTTGGCTCTAATATCCCACACCGTGGTGCCTCCTCTCCTGGGAGCCCCCCTGGTGGCCAGAGCAAGGGTAGTTCTGTGAACACAGAATCGCTTCCTGTTACTATTGTGTCACAAGTGTTGTTTAGCTTGTGAGTGGGAAGGAGGGGTCAAGTGTCTTCTTCTATTGCTCCACACTGTGGTTTTGTTTGGTTTTACTTTATTGTGTGTGTGTGTGTGTGTGTGTGTATGTGCGTTCATGGGCCACAGTGTGTGTGTGTGTGTGTGTGTGTGTGTATGTGTGTGTGTGTGTGTGTGTGTGTTCAGGGGCCACAGTGTGTGTGTGTGTGTGTGTGTGTGTGTTCATGGGCCACAGTGTGTGTGTGTGTGGGGGGGTCTAGACGACTTCTGGGAGTCAGTTGTCTCCTTCCACCACACGGTTCCCTGACCAACGTTTGTTGTTGTCCTGTTTTTAGACAGGGCCTCTTCATGTAGTCCTAACTGTCCTAGAATTCACTATGTAAACCAGGCTGGCCTCCAGCTCATGGAGATCCACCTGCTTCTGCCTTCTAACTTCTGAGATTAAGGGCATGTGCTACCATGCCCAGTTAAACCGACATTTTCTTTTCCCAAGATAGCTCTGTATAGCTCTGGCTACACAGATCAGACTCTTCCCAAATTCACTGAGATCTTCTTGCTTCTGCCTCCCCAGTTCTGGGATTAAAGGAATGTACCCTGCTAAACTGACTTTTTGGGGGGGGGTTGAGACAGGGTTTCTCTGTGGCTTTGGAGGTTGTCCTGGAACTCGCTCTGTAGACCAAACTCACAGAGATCCACCTGCCTCTGCCTCCCGACTGCTGGGATTAAAGGTGTGTGCCACCACTGCCCAGCAAACTGACACATTTTAAAAAGATTTTTTTGTTTTGTTTTTATTTGTGTGTGTGTGCACACGCATGCACACTCCTGGGCACAAGCACAAACAGGTGCCTCTGGAGGCCAGGGGGCACTAGATCTTCTGGAGCTGTAGGTATGGTGGTTGTGAGCTGCTCCCCGTGGGCTCTGGGAACTGAACTGGGATTCTCTAGAAAGAGCAGCGAGTGGTTGAGACATCTCTTCATACTTCACCTTCTATTCTGAGAAAGGGTCTGTCACTAACCCTGGGGCTGGTCACAGAATTCCAGGGGTCCTCCTATGCCAGCCCCCCACCTCAAACTGGGCCTTTGTTTTGCTCTGTTGTTTCCATGCCTACTGAACAGCAAATATGAACTCAGGCCTTCATGCTCACACAGGAAGCTTTATGGGCTAAGCGAGACCTTGGTTTGGTTTATGAGACAGGCTAGCTTGACACTCACTGTGTAGCCAAGGATGGCCTTGAACCCCCAACCCCCTGCCTCTACCTCCTTAGGTGAAGCTCCTCCGGTGTGCAGTTAATTCACGCTCTTGGTTGATTTACACTCAAGGTACCACAGGGCTCTGTGGACTGGTGACATAGGGACACGGTCCTGAAATGCAAAGCAGTATTGAGCTGAAGGGTTCTTCCCTGGGGCCCATCAATTACTCTTCATTCAGTCCCTAGACCTGAGTGGGTTGATCCCACAGGAGGGTCTGTTGACACAGGGTGGCTGTGCTGACTTTCTTCCTGGAGAACAGACACACCCCCCTCAGGTGTGGCCCAGAGGCACTCAGAGGAAAGTCATTAACCAACTCCATTAATGAACACTTGATAACCAAGCGGCACACTGTCTCTGTCCCCATTTCCTGTTCCCTCTCTCTCAGGGGGTTCCACGGAGGTGAGTAGTATCTTCCAGGCCCGGTCTCTCCTGGATGAGGCCTGGGATCACAAGCATCTGGAATTAGAGGCAGATTATCTGGGTTCAAATCGTACCCTGTGGAGTATGAAATCACAAACTCCGTTGGGGCTTTAACTTTTATTGTTAAGTGACATCTTTGGAAGAAGATGACAGGGACAGAGGACTATATAGTCACTACATTACACATATAGAATTACTCATACCTCCATGTATACGGAAAGATGAGAGGCAGCCTCTTTCTTTTCTGTTGTTTGTTTTTGAGACAGAGTTGTATAGCCCAGGCTGGCCTCAGTGTACCTAAGGATAACCCTGAACTCCTGATCCCCCCTCCCAAGTGCTGGTTTCTAGGCCACTCTGGAAAATAACAGGAGTGGAGCTGAAACTCTTCTATTTCGAGGCTTTTATTCATTATGTTGCTTAGTTGCTTTTTTATGGTTTTGTTTTTTGTTTGTTTTCTGAGACAGGGTTTCTCTGTAGCTTTGGAGTCTGTGCTGGAACTCTCTCTGTAGACCAGGCTGGCCTCAAACTCACAGAAATCCTCCTGCCTCTCTGCCTCCCGAGTGCTGGGATTAAAGGCATGCGCCGCCACTGCCCGGCTTTTGCTTTTTAAAGTTTTTTGGTTTTATTTGTGTGCATGTGTGTGTGTACAAACGTGTATCAGCCATGTGTGTTCAGGTAGTGGTGCTGGATCACTGGAGATGGTTTACAGGCACTGGGAACTGAACTGGGATCCTCTGCAGGAGCACTGCGGACCCCTGTCCAGGCTCATTCTGATATTTAAACAATTTAGTGTGTCTGGGCAAGCGTCCATGTGTACACACGTGTGCGGGTGTGTGTGTAGCCTGAAGTTGACATCAGTGTCTTCTTTCACTCTCCCTCATGTATTGAAGTCTCGGAATGAGCCGGAGAGACTGACTAGCCAGACCAGACTAGATCCCTGGGGATCTCTGCCTCCATGTCCACACACCAGGAGGACAGGTGGGTTCTGGGGATCTGAACTCGGGTCCTCGAGGCCCTCCAATGCTCTATTCAGTGAGCCGCCCCGTCAGCCCTTCCCTTGACTTCCCATTTCTTCACTACTCACCACGCTTCACAGCACCTGCCGCCGTGCTCCGGGTCTCACAGAGCTCGCAGATTGCAGTTCCAGCCCCCAAGGGTGCAGCAGGAACTGTTCAGGCTGTGTGAGTACACGCTGTGACAAAATCACCTACCAACACGTCTCCCGGAATGTACCCCATCATGAAGAGACTCTACATCTGCCTCTGTATGAAATTCAGCTGAACCCAGTCACAAGCTGGCACAGAATGCTCTTTTTACCTCGGAACACTCCTACACATCTCTCAAGACCCAATGCAAATGTCCCTTCCTCCAGCCAGTCTTCCTTCCTCCGCTGCCCACAAAACCCTGGCAATGTTCCCTCCCCTCCCCTTGAGTGTCCCCATTGTTCCTTCCTCTGCTGGCTCTGGCTGGACCCCAAGGAGCTGGAGGGCCTTTATCCCTCTCTGCCTTACTTTCCTTGCTTAGGACACAGGGTTAGGTTAGTTGGCCATTGGTTTCTTTGAAACAGGTCTCATTACTACGCTGAAGCTAGCTAGCCTCAAACTCATGATCTAGCCTGCCTTGGCCACCAGAGTGCTGGAATGACAGTTGTGTATAACCATGACAGAGCTTGCAATGGTCCCCTCCTCTGGTAAATCCTTCCCTCATTTCCCAGCCCCACCCCACCCCACCCAGTGCTGGAGCCCCAGGGGTTCCTCAACTGGGATGCAGGGATGCAGGCGACATACCTCGGGGAGCCTGGGTTAGGTTGCTCTCAAGCAGTCTCTGAAGTCTTAGTTTCACTTCAGGGTCTGCACGTCAGAGGGGCAGGGCGGGCAGCCGCGGGCGGTTCCTGTTTCCTCCAGCAGGTGAAGCAGGGCGGGACTAAGGTCTGGGCTTGGTCTGTGGCTGAAGCTGATACTGGCTCCTGCCAAGTCTTTCACAGTATCTACTCGCTACCAGCTCCATGGAGCCCCAGGACAGTTGGAGCCCCTCCTCCCCTTTTGAGACAGTCTCATGTACCCTAGGTTAGTCTGGAACTCACTGTGTAACTGAGGATGACCTTGAACCCCCCCACCCCGTGTGCTAGCAGGTCTGCGCCATCATGCCAAGATTATGCATTGCTGGTGATGGAGCCAAGACCCTGATGCTTGCCAGGCAAGCACTCTGCCAGCAGAGCTGAGTTCCCCACCTTTATGGCAGCCCTGTCAGGAAATGGGGGTGTGACGGTCAGAAAGTGAAAGGGGACAACAGGAGACTGCTGGGTGGGCATGGGGTGCAGGAACCGTGTGTAGACGGGGAAACATCGTGGGCAAGCGTCCTGAGGTTGCACACACAGCTCTATCCTGCCTTCCTTTGCAAAAACACACTTGAAGTGACATTCTACGATTGTGTTGCCCTCTAGGCCAACATAGAAGTGTGATGTGGTTCAGGTTTGTAGTCCCAGTATTCAGAAGCCCGAGGCAGGAGGATTTGGGGTTCTAGGCTAGCCTGGGCTACATAGGGTGACTCAAACTCAAAATCCAAACAAAATCAAAGCTAGACAACACCCGTTTTGTTTCATTTGTTTTTCTAAGGCAGAGTATCAGCGCCCTGGCTGGCTTGGAAGCCACTCTGTACCTGAGGCTGCCTCAAAACCCTCTTCTTCTCGCTTCCCTCTGGGGTGCCAGGGTTACAGGCATGACCATAGTTTCTGTGGTACTGGGATGCTGCACTTGTGGGGGGTGGGGAGGGCGGGACCCCTGTGCACACCCTGGGTCCTGGGTGATATGTCCCTGTTCCTAACAGGCACAGCTGGCTTGGCTATAAGCAGCCTGTCCCACCATCTCTTGGCAAAGCCACTCTCTCCTCTCTGGAAGTTGACACCTTCTAGGACGGACTAGGAACCTTTCTGACCCCTGCTCTTCCCAGGGTGATGTGGGCTTGGGAGTCTTTGGGCTAACAAAGGCCAACAAACAAGGAAAACCATGTCAGCCCCATGACAGAGCCACTCAAGCAAGGGGCCCAGGGGCTCAGCTGAGTTGGCTCACTGGGGCCTGTTACTGTGACTTAATAATTCGGTGCCTTTTGACTGGGCTCAGGGGAGACACCTTCTGATATTACTGGCTGGGCCAACTTCAGGTAACTCCCCTAACACTTGCTTGCTCTGGGCTGGTCCCCAGCCTTCATGGTGAAGGAGAGAAGAGTCCAGAAGGCAGTGTCACTTGGACAGTCGGACCTTTGGGGTTCTCCAGTGCATGGGGCTCAGTGTCAGACAACATGAGCTGTTTTGGCTTTGCTCTTGAGCTGCGGTCTTTCACGGGATAACATCTTCCTGTCAGCAGTCAAAGTAGAATTCCCCTACCCCCCATGTCTGTGGTTCACAAACGGACACAGCTCCCCAAGGAAGCTGTGGTGGCCACCAAGGCAGTGTAAACAGGGCTGCCTGATGGAAGATAACAGGGACCCTGAGGTCCAGCGCCCTCTATGTCAGCTTCTTTTGTTGACCTCATAGGGTGAGGGCCAGTGGACAACCCTCAGGGTAGGCAGTTGCAGTCGAACTGCATCAGCTTCGACCACAAACTCTGGGGACAGGGGACGGGTAAGGAAGGGCAGAGCCACCATTTTATAGTTCTCTCTGCCGAGGGCATCTGCCTCTACTCTGTGTTCATTCCACAAACACTGGCTGGGCTGGACTTCCGCCCAGGTACCATGCCGGATGTCAAGGCTGAGGCACTCCTCTCATTCCAGCACTTGAGGAGGCTGAGGTGGGAGGAAGGCTAGATCTGGGCCAGTCTGGGCTGTACCCTAGCTCATAGAGGGGGTGGGCAGCAAGACGGCTCAGGGGGTAAATGCACTGGCTGCCAAGCATTACGACCTGAGTTTGATCTCCAGGAATCACAAAGTGATTCCTTCTACAAGCTGTCCTCTGACCTTGGAACATGTAGACACTCAGAAAAAAAAAGTTTTTAAGTTAAAAAAAAAGCTTTGCTGGGTGTTGGTGGTGCACTCGGGAGGCAGAGGCAGGTGGATCTCTGTGAGTTGGAGACCAGCCTGGTCTACAAGAGCTAGTTCCAGGACAGGCTCCAAAGCTACAGAGAAACTCTGTCTCGAAAAACAAATAAATCAACAACAAAAAAGTTTCTGCTATCACATTAGGCTTGAGCTGTGAGCCCAGGAACCTTAGCAGACACACTGAAAACATGGTATCACACACTGGAATATTACTCAACCCTGAGAACAACAGAAGCTCTGCCCCAGACTGTAACTTGTGTAAACTAATAACTTGCTCCTGGGTACGATGGCCCTTGCCTTGAATGGCAGCCCTTGGGAGGCAGAGGAAGGTAGATCTCAGATCAAGGCCAGCCTGGTCTACATATCAAGGACAGGCTTGTGGGGGCACACGAGGCGGCAGCAGTCAGGCACAGGAGGGTGTGTGTCATCACAACTGGCATACAGCCAGACAGGCAAATCCACAGACAGGAGAAGACAGGCTGCCAGGGGCACGGCAGGAAGTAGTGCCTGCTCACGAGAGCTCAGTGATAAAACACACTCTATGATTGTGTTAAAAACCTGCCCAAGGACTGGAGAGACACTTCGGTGGTTAGTATCACTGCCCTTGCTTGAGTACCAAGATTTGGTTCCCAGGGCACACAAGGTGGCTCACTTTTAACTCTGGCCCAAGGGATTCCATGGATCTTCTGGCTTCCGTGGGCACCAGGCATGAGTGTGGTACACAAACATACACAGAGGCCAACAGGCACACAGAGAAATAAAACTCAAAAGCCTCCCAACCTCATCAACAGCCCACTGGCCTCACACCCTCTCCCTCCTGCTCTTCTCCAGGGCTTGGGAAGACCTGCTTGGTTCCCACTCTGCTCCTTAATGCTTTCCATCTCTTGACTTTGTACCTTTTGTCACTGTTACCCTTCTGTTACACCAAAGCATGTCTCTGCTTAAAGACACATGCTATCATTATCTCCAGGAGACTCTGGGCACCGAACCTCAGTCTCAAACCTGCTCTGCGGAACTGTTGTAGAACCTAGACTGCACACGTGCTTGGCAGGACCGGATGTGTGGAGTTCCTTCTGAGGGCCAAATAATGCCACAGGGATATCACTCATGATGCTATAGGATACTTTCATTTTTATGTGTATGGGTGTTTGGCCAGCAGGCGTCTGTGCACCACGAGCATGTGTGCCTAGTGTTACAGCAGACTTGTTAGTCCTCTGGGGCTGGAGTTAAGGATTGTGGTGAGCCACCAGGTGGGTTGTGGAAATAGAACTGGGGTCCCTCTGCAAGAGCAAGCTCTCTTAGCCACTGAGGCATCCCACTAGCCCCGCAGGATCTTAGTGTAGCCTTTGTAGCCATGGCTCCCATCTTCTTCCCAGCCCCACCCCATCCTGACTCTTCCTACTGTCCTGTGCGGGGGAGCTGGAATCCCTCCATGGCACACATGGTAAGGCACCTTCCTCTTATCCCCACACAGAGTCAGCAGGGAGGGTTTGGTCATCCCAGCACCCAGAGGCTGCAACAGGAGGACTATTGGGAGTTGCAGAGCAGCCTGGGCTTCACAACGACCTCGGTCAAAACCACAAGAAGCAAATCCAAACGAGCCCTTATCTGGGGGCTCAGTGTGGTTCGAGCCATCTGCACACACCCTAAGGTCTGTGCTAAGCAAGCGCATGCTCACTGGAGAGTCCGTCCTCCTGACACCACACAGGAGTCTCCATGACTGCCTCCATGGAAACCTGCGTGCACACACTAGCCTTACCTCCTGGACCACTCCTTCACATGCTGGCCGTCTGTTCGTGTGAGGTGGCGCTTGTGATATGTCATTACTTTGGAATTACTCTGCATTACTTCTGGAAGTTTCTGTCCACTGTGTCCCTTGCTCACTCTATTAACTCCCTTCAACCTCCTGACAGTTTCTCTGTGTAGCCCTGGCTGTCTTGGAACTCATTCTGTAGACCAGCCTGGCCTCAACTCAGAGATCTGCCCACCCTGCTGGGATTAATGGCGTGCTCCACTGAGTCTGGCTTCATTAGCTGACTTTTTAGTCTGGCTTGTGGCTAGAAAGGCTGTGTGCTTAAGTTTGGCTCTGTGAACTTTTGGGGAGTGTGGAGAGCTTCTCAGGTAGCAAGCAGGCAGAGAGTCAGAGGGGGGGATGTCTGTAGCCAAACAGTACTCTCCAGACAAGGCAGGGTTGCCAAGTAACTCACAGCTGCGGGACTGCACTCACAAGGCTGGCCCAGGACCACACGGCCGGGGAGGGGCTCCTGAAGTCCCACCCCTAGTTGAGGAGCAATGGATGGCTGCCAGCTCCTTTGGGAGAGGGGCAAGTGCTCATCTCTCCAGGCCCTGGGCCACTTGTTCTAAATGTCATCCACTGAACCTGCCACCACATAGCATCCTGGTGGGTGCTGGGTGTACAGAACTGCTTCTTTTCAAATGCACTTAAATCCGATTTCAGGTGCACCCGTCAGGGTAAACAGGAAACGCTAGACACTCCAGGGGAAGGTGACTATTGCTGGTACGTTGGTTTTAATTTCAAAAAAAGGGAGATTTGGATGCTGACAGCTTGGGCTGACAGCAGCATGGGGAAAGGTTGGAGTAAAAGGAAGGGGCTCCCAGGCAACACCCCTCCCGCCAGGACGTCTGGTCCCAATCAGTC